AAATTTCGAAATAAAATGGCCAAAAATTTTCATAATCGTCCGTTAAGATTTAATAAATGGAAAGAGTTTGTCCCGCCGAAAAAAATGGTGCATTTTCAATTTCAAACGAGTCTTAAAGAAGGCACATACAAATTTTATTGATTTTCATATGCCATATCCCATGAATTTTTTTTTAATCCGAAAATCTCAAAACAAAATGACCGAAGTTTTTCATATACTTTAGTTAAGATCTTAGAAATGTAATCATATTGTTCCGCGGAAATATATGGTGCATTTTCAATGAATTTGTGATTTATATTATGGGACTACTTAAAATATATTTGTGATTGTGACGGCTCACAGGTCGTAACTAATTAGTCTAAAACACATTTTCCATTGAAAATTTGATGTGCATTCTGCGTTCACATAAACTTATTCGTAATTGTATATATGTCATGAATTTTCTTCATGTGGTTATAAACAAAAATTTCCTAAATTATGTTATGTCCTTTATTATTAATTCATGTATCAATAATTATGAACACGAATTTAAGCTCTAAGTCTAAATCAAAAGTAAAGATTACTCAAAATCATATATATGAAAATACGAATGCTTAACTAATATAAAACCTGATCACCTCTTTACACGTTCAAGACCAAACATTTCAAGCATATATACAACGTATAATATAAAAAAGGAAGCGCAATATTAGATAAATAATAAAGAGTTTGCATGTAAAAAAGATGAATCTTAAATCTAAAATAAAGTTTCAAAATAAATTATAGCAATTAGCTCGTGATGTGAGATTCACCTAAAGTCTTCGACTAACATGAGATTCTAACGTATTAAAAATGTAAAATAGAATTTTTTTTCGAGACATATTCTTAACGTCCCCTCTTAAAATCATATAAAATATTATTATATATTTTTAAAAAAATATTTAAGTATAAATATGTGAATCCACACTTGAAGTATCATAAAATGCAATGACGATTGGATGCATTTCTCTAAATGATATTAGAAGCATCTTATAGTTATCTAGTTTTATTGTTTTATCCAAAACTGGGTAACACCTCACTAATATAGAGAGAGAGATATTTGAATTGGTAAGAACTAATTTTAGATCTATAATTTTATAATTTTTAATGATTTTTAGTGATATGAATTTAAATGGCAAACTGATAAAATTTACATCTTCAATCCATCTTTTCGTAAAAGTGTACCTATCATCTCAAAATACTGAGTCCACCTTTGACTAGGGAAATCAATCATCCTCTTTTAATGGTTAGAAACTAAACAATCAAACAACGTAATGGGACCTATATTTTGAATCCATTTGAAAGTGATGAACTATTATATATTAGTTATATAGTTATAAATTATACGTCATGAACATTGACATATAATGCAAATAATTAGTGGTTTAGAAAATTATTCAATTTAATATTAGCAATATTTTCAAAACTCTTGAAAATAAGCAAGAAAAAAAGAAGAAAGCAAAGTAATATACGTAAACATAAACCACAACAATATAGAAAGTGATTAGTCAAAACTTAAAAAGGCATTGGACCATAGTTGAATTATTTATTTACTGGTTACCCTATGTTCAAATATCAACGTATTATACGTCATTTTCTTTAATTATGTGGTTTATTATAGTTGATCAATCGTTTATCGATTTACATTTGAATTATTTCCTTGACTTGAAAGGAATATTTATTGTCATTTTTAATTGTTAGCAAGTCCAATCAAACAACTTGATATAGATTTTAAATTAGTCAAAAAAATTGTTATATATTAATGGTACATTATGATTTTTTTGGTGAGCATTACAACATAAAGTCTAAAACATCGTTATCGTAAAAATGGGAATTATAACTCCAATAGACCGTAAGAATTTATTAATTATGGTCCTGAAATAATTTATTACGTAATTTGAATTTTTGTTTATCATTAATTATAATTATTATATTTTTTAAAGCATTGTACTTATTATGTTCAAAAAATAAGACGATAAATACATCAATATATTTATTATTCCTTAAAAAAATGTAGCAAATCACTATTGATTAACAAATAAAAATACACTTAGGGAATAATATATTGGATGATAAGAAATGAAAACTTGTTCAATGGTGTTGTAATAAAACTATTATTTTTCTTAATATTATCAAATTTTATTCCAATCTCAATCAAATGCTTTGATCCAGGAGGCGAATGCACAACTTAATTAATTATTGATTGTTTCATTTTAATCAAGTAGTTTTTATCGAATTTTATATGTATGTATGTGTTAAAAATAAGTTATAATCAAAACTCGAATTCAAAAATGTTCAAGTATCGTATATATGCTAATATTAAATCTTGTTTTATTAATATTTCCTTTATCATAAATATATTTATTAGTACAAGCTGGTTGGCCCATATTCTATCAATTTCAATCCAAAAGTTATATTATAAATAGTATTATAGTAAAATAAATATCTTAAAATCTTTGGACTTTCACATTTTGTTTTCTTGATTCAAAGTTTCTTTCTTTAGAGATTTCAAATTGATATTTTGTTAATTATATTGGTCACGATTCAAGCCTTATAATATGTATCGTCTATTTTGGACTAATATATTTTGTGAATTGTCTTTTTGGGCAATACTATAATTGAACACAAAGCGTACATATCGTATAAATTTGTGCAATATCTTATAAAGCCCATTCTGATGCATGTAAATATTATGTGCATCCTTTCTTTAGCATTATATTATGTGGGGATTTTGGAAAAGTCGAGCTATAAGAGTTTTATATGCAGTCTTACTCCACATATTTACGTGAGACTACTTCTACAATTCAAATCCGTAACCTTTCTGTTGAAATAAATCATCAAAATTTAGATCAAATGAAGTTCGATTATAATTTTTATGAAAAACTCACATATAATTTGATAATCATGATTTCATATTTCAAGCATGCACATACATAATATGAAATGCAAAAATTTATAATTAAAAGCAAAAATATAGCAATGATAAAATGTTGAGAGAATTTTAGTTTTATAAATTATGTAAGATATAATTAGCAATTCGACCGCATAGCGCAGTGGATTAGCGCGTCTGACTTCGGATCAGAAGGTCGTGGGTTCGACTCCCACTGTGGTCGATGTTTAAGTTTTTTTTTCTACGATCCGAATATAATGGTGGAACCTTCGATCCTTCTTTCTAAATGGGGGTGTCCGAGGCATTTCATCTTCTTATTTCGTCGTTGCTCATTCACTTGATACGGATGATTTTTGTCTTTTGTCGAACCACAATCTTGATCTTCGATCTAGGTGTGGTGGATGATAGTAATAACTAAAATAATGGTGATTATTGATAATAAATCATACTGATTGATGTTATAACTTTGATACTTAGTGATAATGGTTGTAGATAGTAAATATTGATTTTAACGATTGATTAATGATAGTAAATAATAACTGTAGTGATTATGGGAAATGTGAGTTCATATGTAGTTGTAGCAACAATTGTGTGACAATGTATGGGTAATAATCATAGTCGTCTTCATAGAAATCATTTAAATGACCATCTTAATTTAAAAAAATGTTATTAAGCTAGCGTTTGGCGATAGATTTCTAAATATTTTTGGCAAATATTATTTGAATAAAATTTTACTATGTGTTTGGCCACAAATTTTGAGAAATATATTTCACCTTTTTAGAAATATATGATTTATACACACAAGTTTTAAAAACTGTCAAACTAACTAAAAGTTTGTATTACAGGTCAATTGAATGTTCGTTACAACAATAACAAACAGTGTCCATGACACTAAAACAATGTGGTAATTTGGAATTAATGCAACAAGAATTATTCCATACATCGTGAAGTACACAAAGCACATGACTTTGTTACCTAAAGCCAATTTTTAATAATTTTCATCAACAATCATATCATTATTTAATATTCACTAAATATTTCATCACTATTTTGGTGTTCACGTAAAAAATTATGTAATACAACGCAAGCAACTACTAGAGAGGGTGTTTTTGTAAAAGATAAAAGATTGAGGTAAAATTTTAATTTTAAAAATATCCCAAATAATGAGATTTGACCCAAATACTAGAAAAAACTAGTATTTGAAAATTTGGGATATTTGCCAAAAATATTTGTCAAATAATAGCAAATTGTATGGACAAACATTATTTGTGAAATTATTCCCAAATATTATTTGGAAAATTTATGTCTAAACGGGCCCTAATATTAATGACTGTAACATAAAAAATATACGCTTTATAGTTAAATTTGAACGATTAAGATAGATGAAAAGAAACAAATAAATAAGTCCTAAAAACAGATTAATCATTATTAAGCCTCGAAGCATCACTTTTTTCACATCTTTAGAAAGAAGTAAAGGGGGCTTGATGGTTTCCACATTTATAAGTTTCTAATAAACTTAAATTACAATCACTATCTAATTAGTTATGGGCCCAAAATGGCCCATTTCGAAAAGATAATTCTAATACTATTTATTTAGAGAGAATTTTAGAAATAGTAACTGATATAATAAAGTTTGAATAAATGACAAAAAAAATCCACGTTTAATTCTCTTATTACCATTATTTTCTATTCGTTTTACAAATTTTAAAAAAATTTCATTTTCGCGCATCACATTAATGTATCTCGTGCAACAGATTAATGTATCTCGCACACCAGATTAGTGTATCATGTACATCAAATATTAATGGATCTTACTTAGCGATTAATGTATCTCGCGCATGAGATATATATGTATCAACACTTAAACTTCAAATGTTCCAAAAACACTTTACATCTTCTTACATTAATGAACAAACAGCATTGATTTATTCATCTTCTACTTTTTATGATACATTGAAGAGTGATTATTGGGCCCTCATATGGATACAAATATAACCCATCTTCCCAATTGGGCCTACATATGAAATTGGGCTCTAAATCCATGTGGAATCCATTTAATAAGCTATAGTTTGTTGCTCTATCTTTGTCTCTCATCATCAATAATGCTACATAACACTTGACATCATTTTTTTTTTTTCATCTTCTTCAAACAATTCTTGTCACCTTAAAAACACTCAAAAATCATACAAATTTTCAGTTACAAATCTTGAATTTTTTTCCACTTTTACCATTTCCCCATTCTTGATTTGCAAAAAAAGCTATGAAATTGTACAAACAGTCAAGTAGAAGAGATGAGGATTTACCCAATTCTCAACCATACTCACCAAAGACCTTGAAATACCCAAGAGGATCTCTTCCCAGATCCATCAATTATCTCCTCAAAGAACAAAGACTTCTGTTCATTCTTGTTGGTATTCTAATTGGTTCAACTTTTTTCATCATTCAACCTAGTCTATCTCATCTTAGCACATCTTCTGAACCACATTCTTCAATACCCAGATCATATAATGCTTTAAATCATGAATCTTTATCAAAATTAGCTTCATATAATGATAAAGATGTAAGCTTTAGGGTGAATGGGGTTACTGGGAGGGTTCCAGTTGGGGTTGGGAGGAAAAGGATGAGGATTGTGGTGACTGGTGGTGCTGGATTTGTGGGGAGTCATTTAGTGGATAAGTTGATTAAGAGAGGTGATGATGTTATTGTGATTGATAATTTCTTTACGGGTAGGAAAGAAAATGTGAAACATCATTTTGGGAATCCAAGATTTGAGCTTATTAGGCATGATGTTGTTGAGCCTATCTTGTTAGAAGTAGATCAGATTTACCATTTGGCTTGTCCTGCTTCTCCAGTTCACTACAAGTATAATCCTGTCAAAACTATTATATCCTTTTTTCTATTACTTCTTGTTATTCAGATTTATCAGGTTAATGTATAAACACCTCTTTTGTTTATGTGTATGTGTTGTGCCTTCATGATGCTTTAGTTCAATCTTACTGACTTGACTGCTATGTTGCTCGGACTCTCCAAAAATGCAGCTTCACCCATGCCGGATCCTCTAAAAAGGCAATACTTTTGATGGATCCGACACACACTGAGAGGCATATTTGAAGAGTCCGAGCAATATAGGAAATGAATGTTTGTTGATTTGCTTATTTAGTTTGTATAATCCTGTTAGAACTGTTGTAGTTAAATTTATTGGCTTTATGTATGAATACCTCTTTTGGTTACATTAGTTAATGTTATGGAAATGAGAGTTCTTTGACTAGTTTGTTGGATTTGAGTCATTTGAGATCCTTATCTGTGATTACAAGACAAATGTGATGGGCACCCTTAACATGTTGGGGCTTGCCAAGAGAATTGGTGCTAAGTTCTTGCTTACCAGTACAAGTGAGGTTTATGGTGATCCGCTTGAGCATCCTCAAAAGGAAACATATTGGGGTCATGTGAATCCAATAGGTGTGCAACAACTAACGAATCGTGTTGTTTTCCTTTTTCCTTTTTGAAACAAGAAAAATATTTTGAGTTTATTTTAAAGATTTTGAGTGTCTTGAAACACCTAGGTGTTAGGAGCTGCTATGACGAGGGAAAACGGACTGCGGAAACCTTGACTATGGATTACCATCGCGGTGCAAATGTCGAGGTAATGAAGATTTGACTTTTTAGAAATAAGTTTAACATGTGATGGAGCTGAGTGCTTCTGTGCACAATTATCTGCTTTGTTGTGTGTTGTAAAAACTAAATGCAGCCTCCTTTGCTGAAATGCTGTGTGAATTTGCATCAGTTACTTGCCAATGCTTTTTATGTTTCAAAGAATGTCTGAACTTAGAAATTGGGGAGTAGGAGTAGTTATTTAATACCCATCTTGAGATTGAGCAGAAACATTCTTGAAACATAGAAAGCAATGTCAAGTAACTGATGCAAATTTGCAATCGCAAGGGTTCTCAAAGAATTAACAGCTAAGAAGAGAAAAAGAATTGTGAAGAAGCAAATAGCTAATGCTTTTTACCTTCATACTTTTCCCGAATCTTGTTACAGCTAATATACCCAAAGACTGAAAAAGACTTAAATGCAACTAAATAAAGTCATAACAGAACTATAAGGGACTAACAACAATCCCCTCTACACCATAATAATAACTAACTCAACAACCTTTTACTACTCTGCGAGCCACTGTACAACTCTAGTAAACGTGTATGTATCAGTAACAGAAGATAAATTTATGGTGTAAAGTTTTTCTGTGATGAATGGTACTTCTTTAAATGAAAAGTTCAAGTTGGAGGGGAGGAATACATACGGGTAAATGGCTTATTCTAAAACTAGGTCCTAGGAAGTTGCCTACATGTACATCAGAATCGTATGTTAACATGTGATATGCTTGCTCGCATTTATGATCTAAAACGAAGGTGTGTAGCTATCCATCCAACTTAATTTGTAGTGTTTCTATAGGAAAATTTGGAAAGTTCAACTTGAAACCTATTTTTTTGCTGGTTCTTGATTTTGAGAAGTTGAACAAAATGATGAGAGAGCATAGGATATAGGTAGCGAAGTAGCAAGTCGTTTCTTTCTTTTCAATAAGATTCAGTCTGAGTTCAGATTATGTATTTTGCTCTCCCCCTTTCCACTTGCAATAGTCAAACAGAGTCTTAAGTGGTACAGTAAGTGGTAATGTCAACTTGTATGTTTCTCATGGATTACCTTGAACTTTACACCTCCGAATCTTTGTATGCAGGTTCGTATTGCTCGGATTTTCAATACATACGGACCTCGTATGTGTTTAGATGATGGACGTGTTGTCAGCAACTTTGTTGCGCAGGTTTGTTCTATTAGCCCATGATATCATTTAGTTTAACTTGAGCTTGTTTTGGTATTTTGTTATTCTAAAACCATGTTTGCAGGCCATCCGCAAGCAACCAATGACAGTATATGGGGATGGAAAGCAAACTCGAAGTTTTCAATTCGTCTCTGATCTGGTACTTCATCTTGATGAGTTCTCTTCCCTCATTCCCCGTCTCTGCCTTAGCGTGTTACTTTTACCTATGTATATATGGACGTCAGATTGCAGTATAATTTATTGGTTGAAGGTGGTCAAGGGTAGCTATAGCCTTTAGCAGGTGTTAGTTTTCTTGAAGTGATTTGTTCACTGTTAGTATGGATGGTAGTGAAATTAGCCTTGAGTTCTTTGGGACGTAAATATATATTGCCTGTGTTTTGAACTTCATATGAAAATCCTTCCAATCGTTTAGATGAAAAATAACTGTAGAAGTTGTAACTCATATTATGAGCAACTGGCTTTGCTCTCCTGGTTGGAACCTACGTCCTTTTCTAGCTCTACATCTTGCTTTCTGTTAAGTTGTTAAGTTTGCATCACAATACAGTGCAGTAAAATTCTAGAACTGGGCAAGAGGTTCATTGAAAAGAGAAAATATTTTGCTAGAATTAGAAGATGTATGTTCTCCCTATCAATGAACTTCAAAATTTTAGTGGTTAATGCACTTCAAAATCTTAGTGACCTAGTGGTTAAGCACCATGAGGTCTCAAATTCCATCTAAAGTACACTGTAGAGAATATACAAGATAGAATAATGTAAGTTCAGCTCTAGGAAAATTAAAGGTGAAGTAAGATATATGAGATTTTGGTGCCTTAATGTAGATGATTGGATATCCAGGCACAGTGATCCCAGAAAATGGCACGATAGTTGCATATGTAATACACTATAAAAATAATAGGCCAGCGGTGATATGGAAGTGACATGTTGAGCTTAAGAACAATGTTATATTAGAGCAAATATTGAACCTCTAAACTCCCAACATATCTACAAGATAAATGTCAAATGTTAAGATAGAAATGCAGTTCAAGATTGGATGAGATTTGAAAGAATGACACTCCACATTGGGTGAGAGTTGCATACATGAATGATAAATTGACTGAAGTTCGCCTGAGAAGGTTTGGCTTGCTCGGTCAGTAGATACGACTATATGATAGTTGGAGGCAGCAAAATGGGAACGCGATGGACCTAAAATCACGTCGAGGGGACTTGTCTCTACAGGCTTACGAGCTATCAAAACTAATGTGGACTCTGCCAAGTGAAGCACAAATTGGAAGAAAATAATTCATATAGGCCATTCCAGCTAGTTTTGAGATTAAAGTCATTCTTACTCTTTACATTAACTCGAATGTTCATCAAAAGCTTTTTTTTTTGTCTCTTATTTGTTCTGATTGGAGAGTTGTATGTGTGTATTTGATCAATGTGAGATCTAAAGAAGTAGCTTGGAAGACCCATATTAAAGATAATTAGCTTCATTTTGATTAAAGGTTGATGGATTAGTGGCCCTCATGGATGGTGAGCACATTGGCCCTTTCAACTTGGGAAATCCAGGAGAATTTACCATGTTGGAGCTTGCTGGGGTAAGTTATGATTATTTACGCATATGTACATGTCTACAAATATGTTCGTACAGAAGCTTTGGTTGCTTAGTTACTCGATATTTGTTCATACGTTGTACTTCATGTGGTTATCTTAGAGCCAGGAAATGTCTTAAACATCTAATCAACATATAGATATATCTATCTAGTTTTGTGTGCTAAGATATGTTATGAAACAAAACAGGTGGTGAAAGAAGTGATTGATCCCAGTGCCACTATTGAGTTCAAAGCCAACACC